GTTGGCGCTACAGCGTCTTCCGCTGCATCTTCCACAGCGTCTTCGGGCTGTGTCTCCTCCGGGTCTTGCTCGGGCCTGGCCTCTGTCTCTGCTGACTCGAGCAGGTTCACAGCTGTCGGATGGCTGCCTGAGCAGCCCGACAGAAACTTCTGTAAAGCCCCCCGCTGTCTCTTCTTTTGTTCCTCTTCATTCTTTTTAAGTTTTGCCGCACCGGAAAGCATCGTGAAAGTTAGCCTACTCAAAAACACCTGCTAGCTTTGTTTTGTCCCGCTCTGACTCTGACCGCTTCTCTGACATCCTTAATTGAGTGGCGCCCAAGTTGTAGGCTACAGTCATGGGCTGGCGTTAATGTGACGTAGCTAATGTAACAGTCTGTGGTTAAGATAAATATTGTCACTATTTTTGTTAGTAAATAAATATTTAAATAAATTTTAGATGGGAGTCCTATCTACAAATTCTGTCATAGGACATTTGTATATTTTCTTTTAATTTCTTTATTTTTAATTTTGTCCCTCTGTCTGGGCCCCATCCATCCAATCAGGCCCTAGGCACGTGCCTACTTTGCCTTTGCGTTAATCCGGCTCTGGTCGAGGCTGGTAAGTGTTTGTTGGTAGAAGCCACGATTGCACTGCGTTGTGTAGTAATCCAGTACCAAGACCAAGGAAAACATCCCACTAAAATAAAATAAAACAAAATAACCAAAATAATAAAATAGAATATGGTGACTAAAACCCATGAAAATGGGCACAAGGTCCCACCGTAAAATTTAGCAATCAAAAATCAGTTCATTACTCTAAAGAAAATGTCAAAGGTCAAACTGAAACCACTTCTTTCTAAAACATATCCTTATTAGTCAAAACAGTAAAAGGAAACAGGTGGTCATATTGTGGTTTGGGTGTTTAGACTGTCAAAGTAAACATTTGGCTGAGAACCTTCAAACTTTCACAAGCGGAGTTGAGCTGAAGTTCACATACCAGTAAGATAGCCAAGGATATTGTTTGTTGCTCGTATAAACCATCCTGTACTGTGTTGTGCAGAATTCCAATAATCCAGTAAAATAAACCAGAATATGGTGAGAAAACATCAGCCTATTTTGGAGATAGGGCTCTAAATCTAAGAATATACATCAGATGGTCCCGCTAGAAAATTTAACTATATGTCTCATAGAATTAGCTCACTTCTCCACAGAAAATGACAAATGTTACAATTAAACCATATTTACTAATTAGTCTACCCAATGAAACAAAGCAGGTTGAAATATTTGCGCTGAGCTAAAGTTTGCATTCCGTTAAGGAACAGCCTTACCAAGTGAAAATAGAGACCATCTTGAGTCCAAATTGTATTTTTAAACTAAGTCCAGTAGCAAAAGGCATCTTTGGATGCAGATCAGCCACCTCACAGCTAATCTGTTTCCACAGGAGCCGAGTCCGGCAAAACCAGAGCTATGTCAGAATTGCACAAAGGCTGTTTCAGTTAAAAGGGGTGATTTTAAAACAGTAGTAAGGCACCGTCTTTACAGTTCTTCAATTAAATAGAGCAGACGCCATTCATGTGGTTTTGTACCACATTAACACAAAATCATAATTTTACAATAATTTTCCCCTCTAATTCTGTAACTCGGGGTCAAATCCAGCAACAAAGAGAAATGTGCAAAGGTCTGGGACATTTCTGCATTAGGTGGACTACTTAGGAAGGGTTAAAACTGCATCATCTCTTCCGTATCTTGGGTTTGGGGCAATCAACATGGTTTCCTGACTGGATCTGCCTTCACCTGACAGCAATGTGTTCCAAAATACCGGACTGGAGATTTCTTTACCCATTGTAGATTCTTTTTACAGAATTTATCGCTTGTTAGGTGGATATGTTGCAGTAAGGCGTGAGAGTTTGTGAGGCAAAAACTCTGCACCGTCAGATGCAATCCTATCAATATCCACGGAAACAAGGATCTTAGAGCATTGGCTGAACATTAAAAGTCAGCAAGACAATTATTATTATTATTATTGGGATTTTGTGAGGTGCAACCTTTGTAAGTTGAGCTCTACATTTTGTAGGTGAAAGCAAATCAAGCTAGGGTGAGCAGAAATACTGAAAAGGGGTATTTGTTTATTGTTTTGTTTATTTAAATAATAATTTAATTCTGGGCCTAAACTGGCAGTTCAGTTAGGTCGGCAACGGGGGACTTAGAGCACAAAAGGGACTGTAGACCAGAATATGGCAGGGATCTAGTTTAATTTGAGGGGCAATTGCGTGAGGAGTGACCTGGACCTTGGCAGGTCCAGCAAACGGAATGTTGTGATTTGATCCACTGGCGCTGCCTCCGTTTAGTATTCTTGCTCTTGCTGAAACAACACCGGTGTGGCTTATCAAGATGCTGATTAGACAACGTGATTACTGCACAGATCCATCTTGGGCTCGCCACAATAAAAGCCCAACTAAAAGTGTGAAGTTACACAGCCCAAAGCCGCTCATTTGACAAGTCTTTAGGGAGTGTGCAGTTGGTAAGCTGCTGACAGCAGGCATGTCCACCAGAGCTGGTACCCATGACCTGAATGCTGGCCGTACATCCATCCAGCCTCACAGCTGCTGTGAGCTCTGATGTAAGTGTCATCATCCATACTGGATCAAGGTCCTTTCTGTTGACACCCATGTAGCGTATCAGTCAGGTCACCCACAATTCAAAAAACATAAAAACACTGACAAAATCAGAGAAATTGAAGATGCCAATTGTAGTTTGGTTGAATCGACGATTGCAGCAGCTGGTCAGAAATCTGAAGGTCTGTTTCCCCTCAAAACTTCTAATAAACCTGTTTCCAAGACAGTGTCTTCATGTCAGAGAACAAGTGTGTGCTTTTGCATTTTTTTCTCCAATATATGATACGTGCTTTAAGGTAACCGCAGGGGCTGCAGGGTTGACATTATTTAGCCCATGACACAGTAATTTCACAAACATCCCAACTGAACCAATATTTCCTAAACAGTGCATTGATTCAGTTCATTATTTCAATTAGTTTAAAGTTTTATGTCTAGAGAAAACCAGCAGATTGGATCGAGACACCCCCTTTCAGTATTCACTTTTCAGCCCCATACTAAGCAAGCGTGTAGTGACAGTGGAGAGGAAAACTCCCCTTTCACAGGGCAAGTTTGAGATGACAGAGCAGACACACAAAAACAAACAGATGAACTAGATTTTCTATGTTAACGAAAGTAAAACATTAATATCTGGAGAGGAACAATGTTCAGTGGTTGGCAGCAGCATGAAGGCTGATGGTCCCCTCCAGGAAGCTAACCCTGTCGTAGCTTCTGATCATTTATTTTAGCAGTCAGGTGTACTACATATGCTTGCCCCTTTATTTTGCATAAACAGTATTTTTTATGCTCTTTGCACCTATGCTACAGCAGACCATAATCAAGAGGACTCTGATAGAACACTCATTGAGACTGATTAGTTATATCCCTGGACCATGAAATTATGGGAATCTTTTGCTGCTGGTGTCAGGTTAAAACAGATTTGAGTGATCTGCATAAATGTTCATTGTTACTTTTTATTGTTGTATTATTTTATCTTTTTAACCACTCAGTCTTGGCTAGGGTCATGGAGGACTGGTGTCACCAGGTGGGAGGTGGGGGGCATCTCTTGGCAGGCGAATGCAGGTACGCAATGTGAAGTGACACCCACCAAAAATCTAGTAATCATTTCCCATTAAGCTTTTGATGACATCAGCTATTTAATGTGTAATTTTGACCCCTCCCCCCTGGAGATCTTTGTCAGAGGATTAAATTAAATTATTGTCACAGTCTGTCCCTGCTACATTACCCTTAGAAATCACACACATGCTAACACACAGTTGAATGAATATGTAACCTGGAATTATTTTATAATTATAGATTACGTGGAGATCAAATCGTATTATATTTTAGAGCAGAGTAACATGAAACCCTCACATCATTACATTTGCTTGGCAGCGGTGTGACGTGACTGAGTTTAGGATGTCAAAATATTTCAAACTCAGCAGGTGTCAATCTAACCCACCTTTAATTTACAATGTAAATTAGACCGAACTCCCTAGATTTACCAAATGAAACAGCAGTTCAAAAGAGCAGGATGGGATAAAGTTGTTCTGTAATGTTGGGAAAATCATTTCTCAAAAGCCCTGAAAGGGAAGGTAAATTTTTATCGGTTGTTTTTATAAATACATGACCTGTTGGGTGAGTGATGAAGACGTGTCTAAGTGTGTATTTTAGTTATACCTTATTAAAATGACACAGAAAAAATATTTTCTATTGCCTGTCAGGGTATAAGCAAAGAAATAAATAAATGATTTAAGTAATAAAATAAAATCCTCAGAAAAACTGAAAAGGAGCCCTTGTCTTTCAAGGCTTCTTATTTTATTTTTGTTGAGTAAAAATAGTGAATGGAATTTTTACTAAATCCTAAACTTATCTCTTTTTGCATTTTTTCTTTTAGTATTAATTATTAGGTGTCTTATTTCAGTATTAAATCATTCATGATGGGTGGCCGATGACCTCATCAGGCTGGTTGCATGATAACTAGTGGTCTGGCATGAGGAACCAGTGGTGCTGTATCATCAGTGAAGAGTTCTGCATCGACTGATGGCCACCGTGTGCACTGAGGGTTAACCCTAACCCTGACCAGCCTTAAGACAGCACCTCGGTGCACTCTACCAGCAAGACTTGTCCAGTTAGATTTCACTTTCACCACTCACTGTCCCCAACTTTGCTTTTATTAAATAAATTATTGAAAATTTACGTTAACTTTTGAACTAACTCTAACCACACACCTGCAAGAGTCTAAAGACTTCCACAGGACTAAAGATTCAGGTGAAAGTTGCAAAATTAAAAGGTTAATGACCTTTTGGGCCTCATGTCCCCAAAATGTGTTAAAAACGATAAGTAACATGGAGAAATTCACTTAATCCAGATGTAAACTAGCATCCAGTTGGCGTCACATGCACACACAAATGCAGAAATCATTTACTTCCCTCGTTTCATTTCATTTATTTTCTTTTGTTTCATTTATTATTTTTTTTTAGAAAATATTGTGATATTTTATTAAAAATGTTGCAGAAAAAGTTTATACAGGGGTCCAGCCAGATATCTGTCCATATCATTTAAGGCAAAACTGCAAATAAATAAGACCAAATAAAAAATGAAAACTACATTAAAAACCATTGTTGTGTTGACTGGTTTGGGACCAGATGTCGAGGAAATTATCTCTATTAGAATTTATAAATGTAGCTTCAAATCTTCATTATGTATCTTTTTATAATAGGATGCAAAATGGAAAGAGAGCTAATGTTTACTTAGGTGGTCATTTCATAGTAATTAATAGTATTTACACTCATTCACTTGCTTTTGTAAACCAAAATATCACAAGTCTGGCACAATATTTTACATATTGCTAGCATATGACGGTTTGAAATATCTAACATATATGCCTTTACAAACAAATCCAACTAATATTGATACAAAAATGTACTGCCTTTTTTTTCTAAATAATACATTGCTGGTCACATAGAAAGCTCAGAGACAGAAAAGCCCACAAAGAAAGTGATCAGAAGCAGAACAGGATGGATCCAGAGAGGCGTCATCAGGAGACAGCAGGCATGTCTGAGTGCAGCTCTTTAGGAGCGGACTGTGTGCAAAAACAGAAAATAACACACGGCTGCGTGTGATGGCCTGAGAACACTCAGGGTGCGTTGTGATGGCGTGGGTGGGTGGGGGGGTGGGGGTTGGTCTTTCTGAATGTCGCTAGAAGAAAATGAACATTTTTCGATATATTTACACACATAAATAAATAAAGATCACTAGCTAAAAAAAAGCCTAAATCAAAACAACCAGACAGATCTCAGCCAAAACAATAATAGGAGCTCTTTATTCTTTTAATCTTCTTTTTAAATTTCCACTCACAGCAATGATCTTTTAATTTTTCTTCTTCTTCTATGAATTTTATGCAAAGTTTTCATAAATACGTTTCCAGCTGGAGTGGAGAGTTCTGCTCCCGGGTCAGGTTTGATGCAGAAAGGATCGTGACGCAATGATGCTCCGTTGTTGCTTGTTGAAAACCGTCGCCACCGATCGTAATCGTGGCAAAAACCTTCGCCAGGCTACTTTATAAGAATGTTAACAGTCTGGTAGCCTTCTCTTTAAGTAAAATCCTCAACAAAGCTCCGCTCCCCTTTAGGGTTACCAAGGTAACATTCAATCTGAATATTTTAACAAGTTCACGGAATACTTTTATACTTTTCAAGAAGGCGTGGTACCAAAATAACATCTGCTTAGACTTTGGAGTCTGTGCTTTACACAGTCAGTCACACGTTGTTGCTTTGTGTGTGTGTGTGTGTGTGGTGGTTTGATCGCAATCCCATCCCAGCTGAGCTATACCCGTGTGGTGGAGTGGCCGTGGGGCAGGTTGGTACTGTTCGGGCTCCCACCAAATGTGTTGAAGTTGTGCAAAGGCTGCATGCCAGCCAGCGAGTTGGGGATCATGGTGATGGTGCTGGGGGTCATCAGTGGTATGTCGTCAGGTGACCGGCGCAGGGTCAGAGTGTAGTCTGGGGGACAGGTGAGTCGTAGCGTGTCGTGGCTCTGCAGAGACTCGCACTCATGGTGGTGCTCGTGCTCCAGCTGCTGCTGCTTCATCTGCAGAGACATCAGTTCTTCGCTCTGCAGGTGGGCCACATCATTGGCTGTTGACGGAGCAGTAGCTGGAGTAGAGTTGTGCTGTGGGGTTGGAACGTGGCGGTTGGACTCATGGCGCCGTTTGTCTTTTTTGTAGTATAGTGCTGCAAATGCAAGGATGTTGAGAAAGAGCAGCGAGGCGCCCACAGCGATGGTGACGCTGAGCTCTGTGGAGTAGTCCCTCTTGGTTTCGATGACCACGGTTGACTCATCCGTCAGATCGCCACTCTTGCGTTGATCAGTGCTTTGCTTGGTGTTAGCGGAGGGAACGCCGGGGTGGCGCGTGGTGGAGGGCCAGTTGTTCTTACCTGGAAAGCGTTTGGTGTAAGGATACGGGGTCGTGTCCTGCGGGGGTATTTTAGTGGTAGTGGAGACATACTGGAAAAACTCATTAATATTGTGCAGATGTGGAACCAGCTCGAGCCAGAATGCAACCTTGGTAGCCCTGTAATGGTCTCGGATCCGAGGTTTCAGGCCAATGTGCAGGTATATCTGGTCTTTGGGGTTGTACTTGTTCCAGGCTACCTCCTCAAAGCGGTTCGGCTTCGTGTGGATGAACTTTGTGTCCTGGGGAACTGGCTGGTTTGGGTCTCTGAAAGACAAAAAAGATTGGACTTATCAGTAATTTTACAGTTACTTACAGGCCTTGTGTTTTCCTCAGATAGCTGTAAAGCTGCATCGCAGCACAATGATTACTGCTGAGTCGTCACTCAACTTAATCTACGCAAGCGGCTTTATGAGTGACTCACTGTTTGAATTTGACTCAAATGTCGCAGCTGACGTGCAGCCGTGTTTGTTTCTTTCTCTCTCAGACTGTGTGTTCATCAGAGTAGCAAGTGTTGCACTCTCCCGTAACAAAAGAAAGGAACTTATCCTAAAATCTGCAATGCATTCTGGGAGTCCCCACAGAACTCATGATGTTCTGCTAATCTTGCAAAATCAAGTAACGTGTTGAACTGCTACATAAAGAAGTCTATGAGGTAATTAACAGTAAACTTATTATGCAAATATTAACGTTAGGCTAAAATAAATGCTGTTAACAGACCCGTGTCTCATGGGTCTGCCTACATGCTGTTGTGGCATTATGAATGCATTTACTTAACACAAACCATGAGTTCATTAGTGTTTCGTTGATTGCTTCTCAGTGCTTCTTGTCAGTAACGATTGTGTCATCATAAAGTCCCCTTTACCATGAGGTGGAACCAATCTAACAGCGCAACTAATGGTCGCAGTGGGACACAGTGTGTCCATGAAGCTAGAGATCCACCATCGCTCAGGTTCTCAACTCTAACAGACCTGAGAACTGGTAGTCCCTGTCTAACTGCATCCATCCCAATAGTTTGGTATTCAGGAAGATTTGGGTCTCTTCATACGACAGCTGGCAGGAACCACTTCTCGTTGGAACCAAGAACAAAGTGACTTAGCTTAAGAAGCCCTGAAAACTTTCCATGGGTGAGAAGGATTGTGTGTTGGCAAAGACCTGATCCGCATTACTGGACACAGAGAGCCAAACTCAGCTCTTTTCTGGGATCAGCCTCCTATGCCCAGTCAGGAATCTCCGAGTCATCCCTGTTGGACTCCAGAGTCTGTTTGGATGCTTTCTGAGGTTTTTAAAAACACACAAAGTTCTGCTGGGAGACGAAGCTGCGCAGAGTTCTGAAACAGAATCAACATGGACCACTAAGTCCCAGAATAAGAGCAAAGAGTTGGGTTAAGCAAGGAAAAAACACCCAGGCTCACATGACACATCATGACACATCATGACACATCATGACACATCATGACACGGAACAACATCACACAACATAAATCAACATGACACAACGTGCCATGACATTACACAGCACAAGGTTATGGCACAACGTAGCATGAGAAGATGTGCAGTGACACAATGAAACACGACATGAAACTAAACAAGACAACACTACAGGACACGACATGAAGTGGCATGATACTACAGAAGCACTCGCCACACCACAACAACTGACACGTTTGACTTGAAGTTGTGGCTTAAACAGAAATTTTTATCTTTATATTTTAATCGTCTTGGTTTTCTGTGAACATGGTTCCTGCTGATTCCTCAGAAACATGATGGTTCTGTCCTCCAAAGAGCTTCAGTAGCATGTGGTCAGGCTGCTGTGCACACTCTAACACCTGCTGGAGCTCTGCACCACCTCTGCCACGACTAAAGAAAGTATGGCGTTTAAAGCGTGC